TGGGATTTACTTAAAAATAATCTAGTGGGTGGGGTGGGGAATTAGTTGAGGCAAAATTCATCCTATGTTGATACTTATTGAAAACAAGTCATAGGTATCCGGGCTCCAGCAATAAAACAGTTTATAATGAAAAAAATAGAAGTTTCTTTTCCCCCAGGTCAGAGTCTCAATATGTAATCTGGGCTGGCCTCAGAGTTGTAATCCTCCTGCCTCAGTTTCCCGAGTGCTGGGGTTATAGGTGTGTGCCACCATATCTGCTTAGCTTGCTTGTTTGTTTTTTAATGTTTTAAAGGCATTTCGTGGGCTGTTTGTCTTCCTTGCTTGACTGGGAGGAGGGAGGTGGAGCTAAAACGAGGGGAATTGGGTTTTCTCTTCTCTCCGCCCCACTACTCATTGGCATTGCTTTTGTTGGATCTGCGCAGCCGCACAAGAAGGGCAGGGCCGTAGGTCCAAGCTAGGTCCGGGTTCCGCCTTCCTGTCCCTTGTCCGGCAGTGGAGCTGACTTAGGCAGATGCTCCACCCACCTCTGCCAGAGCCTAGAGTCATCAGGTTCAGAGTCCTTCGCGATCGTCGGGAGTTACATAACAGCCCCTCGTCCACTGACAGCAATACCTCGAGGGATGGCAGAGAGGAATTGGCAGGGAGCCTTGGTAGGTGAAAGAACAAAGGATAAAGGGAAACACCTTTCCTGCGAGATGCCACCCTGGTGATTCATCTGAGGTGTGGAGACATGAAACAACTGAAGTTCATAGCCCTTGTACCTTCCCTTTCCCTATTGCCCCTGAACAGATCTCTTTCTCTTACACATTTGTGGTGTGAACAAGGGTGAGCCCTCTCTCATTTCACCACAGGGACCTTCAGGGGCAAGGCAGGTGCAACTTGGGGTACTCGCATTTCAGGGGTTGCTTGTGTCCAAATCTGTTTCCTTTCCCTCCTGTTCCTCAGTTGCCTCACCCTGCAGAGATGGTCCATGACCCAGGCTTTTGTCCATGCTGGGCCTTCAGTAGAGATAGAGGTGGCGTTGGTGTAAGGTCCAATAGGGTTGGGCGTGCGGATGAGATCCACAGTGAAAGACATGGGTGGAAATTCTGTGGCTGGAGTGGGAACCGTGTGTCTATCTCTCTAACTGTGCTAGGGGACATGTCTGCTTTCCCTTTACCACTGAGAACTAGAGTAGTGATTAGCACATAAGGAGGCTCTGGAAACCTATCAGTTTGTTTTCACTGCTGTAATGAAATACCTGAGGCAGAATATCTTTATTAAGGAAAAATTTTGGCTCATGGTCCAAGAGTGAGGGGCTGCATCCCGTGATGGCCTTGCTGGCAGCTCAGGCATCATGACACAGTAAGAAATGCAGTCAGAGTCAGGAGTGGGGGTGCACACCTGTAATCCCAGCACTTGGGAGGCTGAGGCAGGAGGATGAGACCAGCCTGGGCTACATAGTGAGTTTCAGGTCAGTCTTAACTACATAGTGAGACCCTGTCTCAAAAAACCAAAAACAAACAACAACAACAACAACAAAGAAATACAGTCAGGTCTATTGTGTGCTTCTTCTGGGCTCTGCCCTCTCACAAAGCCACCAGGAATCAAACACTCCCAGGAGCTCTATGCTAATGACCTTAACTAACCTAATTGCTTCTCAAAGGCCCCAGCTCTGAACACCATAGTTGATTAAATTTCTACCACCTCAATACTTCACATTAGGGATCAAGTTTCATAATGGTTGGGAGTGGTGGTGAGGGATAAATCTAATTCTAACTGTAGCAGTAAATTTTGTTGAATGAATAACTATAAAAATTAAGTTAAGCTCAGAGAACCAAATTTTACTAAAAAAGTCTAAAAGGCATATTTAAACTTTATCTGGTATTGTTTTATTCTAAAACACCACACATAGCATTCTAACATATACATAATATGCACTTTTTTTGGAGGCAAGGTCTGAGTGTTTCAGGTTGGACATGAACTCACAGCAATCCTCCTGCCTCAGCCTCCTGAGTGCTGGGATTGTAAGCATGTGACACCACACCCAGCTTTAATATAGGTGTGTCTGTGTGTGTGTGTATGTGTGGCACCTTTCTGTCTGTCTATCTGATTTTCCTAATTGCTATTTGAATAAAATAATTCTGGTATGAATATCTCATCTAACTGAAAAGATGATTTTGCACTTTTAAAAAAATTTTAGTGGCACTGGGGATTGAACCACTGAGCTTCATCGCTATCCCTTACTCTTCACACACAGCTTGTAAAGGAGAAAGGCCTATTTGGCTTGCAGCTTCAGAGAATCCAATCTGTGGTCTGGTCAGCTGGCTCCAAGACAGAAACATCACTGTGGAAGAAGTTATGGGGCAAGGCTGCATCATGGCTGGAAAGAGAGCTGGGAACAGACAGGAAAGGGCCAAGGACCAGCTACAGACCCCAACACGACACCCCATGACCCACCCAGACACCCAGAAGTGTGCTCTACTGATCCCCTAGGTGGACCCTGAGCCAATCTAGTTGACAAGCGTAACTGACATCGTGCCCCTTGCCAGCTCAACATGCAAACACATCTGCTTAAATCATACTTAATAGCCAAATAAAGACAGTAGCAAGCTCGTTATTCCACCTAATGCAATACAGAAATGCAGTAATCCCATCTCCAAGGTCTCAACAGTTCCAGCACTTCTCAAAAGTCAAAGTCTCTTCTGAGACTCAAGGCAAGCTCTTAGCTGTGAACCTCTATAAAACAAACAAACAAAAAAACCACAAAAGAAAAAACAAAAAACAAAAAACAAAACCAAACCCCACAAAACACACAAAAACACAAGTTACAGAATCCCAGGATACAATGGTACAGAAGAAATATTCCCATTCCAAAAAACAAAGAATTGGATCAAAGCAAGACCAAAACCCAGCATGGAAAACATTAAATCTTATCTTCTTTCCTTCCTTTCTTCCTTCCATTTTCTTTTATTTTTGATGTTTTGAGACAGGGACTCATTATAGGGCAAGTTGGCCTTGAAGTTGCAGTCCTCCTGCCTCAGCCTCCTGTGTGCTGGGATTACAGTGCATGTCACCACTCTAGGCTTGTTTCTGATTTCTTGCTGCACATTGTCTGTCCCTGTTTGACTAGAGAGAAGGCTGAGGGGATTTATTATGCATCTCCACAGCCTCCATGAGCTTCCTTTCCTGGCTTTGATGTCCTTTGCTCACTGATCATTGAGCCATCTCACCAGAAAATTAAGACTAAGGAAAAAAGATTCCATGCATGAATAACACATAAGAAAACAAAAGGAAGAGTGTATTAGAAGATTATAAGCCGTAAAATAATCCAGACAAAATGCACAGTTTATTCAGAAACTACTAGGGCTATAGCTATGTCTAGCACTATTGAGTTCCAACAGCTTTCCTTACACTGACCTTGGATTTTGAGAGCCCTTAGTTTTGAGGAAGAGTGGAAACTCCTTTCTCTTCCAGTTTCCTAATTTATCTTCTCATTGTTCCCTGAATCTCTAGGATTTAGATGACACGTTTGCCTGTGCAAAGAGTAGATGAAAATGTGCAAGGAGGGTGTAGGGTGAAGGAGGGAGGATTTCACTGAGGGATTAAGGACCAAGGTGTAGGAAGCCATTTACAGGACACCTGGGATTCATTCCTGCCTATCCCAAGCGGGCGAGTTTATTACCTGGCTGTGGAAATCTGTTGAGTGGGGGCTCCTAGCCTTCTTGGAGTAGAACCAAAAGTGCAACTGGGACCATAACGGGCATCTCAGGAGAAAGGGAGGAGGAGGTGGGGAGGCACAGACTGCGTTTCAAGGCCACGTAGGTAGAACTCATCTATGTGAGAGCACTAGTAGTGGTTGAGAGTGTGGATCCTGGACCCAAATAGTCTGGGATTCAGGAGTTTGAGGTTGTAGCTCAGTGGGAGAGCACTTGCTTAGGATGCACAAGGTCCATCCTAGCACTTCAAAAAAAAAAGAAATGTATATTTGTATATGTGTGTGTGTGTGTGTGTGTGTGTGTGTGTGTGTATCTTGTAACTTGACATCTTCCCGTCTCAGTTTCTTTATCTGTAAAATAGGGGTAATTTTTACCTCACAAGGTTTCTATGAAATTAGGCTAATTTTCTATGCGCAGTGATTGGAAGTCAAAATCTGACTCCTAACCCAGTAACCGCAGATGTGTTAGTAAAAATTTTGTTGGATACCAGTGTTTTTGTGTTACCTAGGTCCTCTCTCTGTACAGGTAGCTAATTTAGGGCTGGTTGTCGAGAGGCTGCCTCCTCCCATAGCTTTTCAGCAATAGTTGAGCCACCCTTGCAAATCTAAAGAGAGGGAAAAAACCTCCCGATATGAGACAGCAGAGTCAAAGAAGAGGATGCTGGGCTCAGAAGTGAACGTTAGGCCTTCCTTAGACAAATCTGGGGTTCTGATAACTCCTGCCATCCATGGACTGCTTACAAGTGAAATGGAGCCAAAGGTGGAAAAAGACTCAAGACTGATCAACTCTGATTCAAGTGTTAACGTCAAGCTTAGCTGTTTCTGTGTCCACAAATCCCTAAGAAAACACTAGCCTAAAATACCGGGACGCTGGCAGGTTATTTGCGATATTTTTTTTTGATATGAGGCTCTGGACTGCCTGCCTTTATAGAACGCTGGGTCCTCTGGCCTTGAGCTGAAGAGCCACACAGTTAAATAGGGTGGGCGGATGTGTTTCTTCCCTTCCCTTATCTTCTGAATTTGCCACAAGAGGTAGGGAAAAACCAGTAGTTTAAGGTAGCAAATTTGCTGGGTGTGGTGGCGCACACCTGTAATCCCAGCGCTCTGGGAATAAAACATAAAAAGGGCTGGCACATAGTTTATTGCAAAGGCCCTGGTTTAAATCCTCAGTACAAAAAAAAAAAAAAAAAAAAAAAAAAGTAGCAGTTAAGACAAAACGGGCTAAATGCGGCCCTCATCCTCTTCGGTTCTCTGGCCTTGGGAGTTTTAAGACTCACCCTTATCCCGCTTTGCTTTTCTGCAGGACCAGAATGACCACACTCGCCCCCAAGGGCTGCCGCTCAAACCTGGACTCCAGGTACCACAGACTTTGTGATCTGGCCACAGGCTGGGGCATCGGCCTCGAGACGCTCGCTGCGGTGGGGGCGGCGACCTCGGTGGCCTTCATGCTGGCCCTCCTGGCCCTCGTCTGCAAGGTGCAGGACTCTAACAGGCGCAAGATGCTCCCGACCCAGTTTCTCTTCCTCCTGGGTGTGTTAGGGATCTTCGGCCTCACCTTTGCCTTCATCATCAAACTGGACGGGGGCACGGGGCCCACCCGCTTCTTCCTCTTCGGCGTCCTCTTTGCCATCTGCTTTTCCTGCCTCCTGGCCCATGCTTTCCACTTGACCAAGCTCGTACGTGGGAGGAGGCCTCTGTCCTGGCTGGTGATTCTGGGCTTGGCTTTGGGCTTCAGCTTGGTGCAGGATGTCATCGCTGTTGAGTACATTGTCCTCAGCATGAACAGGACCAACGTCAATATCTTTTCTGAGCTCCCTCTCCCTCGTCGCAACGAAGACTTTGTCATGCTGCTCATCTACGTCTTCTTTTTGATGCTGCTGACCTTCCTCGTGTCCTTCTTCGTCTTCTGTGGCCCCTTTGCCAGCTGGAAGAGACACGGGGCCCACATATGCCTCACCATGATCCTCTCCATCGCCGTCTGGGTGGTGTGGATCGTCTTGCTCTTGATTTCCTCCCTCGACCCCAGATGGGATGATGCCATCCTCGGCACGGCCTTGGTTGTCAATGGCTGGGTTTTCCTGTTGTTTTATGTCTTACCTGAGTTTCTGCTGCTCCCAAAGCAGCAAAGCCCCATGGATTACCCAGTGGAAGATGCTTTTTGTAAACCTCAACACATGAAGCAGAGCCATGGTGCAGAGAACAAAGCCTACACTCAAGAGGAAATCACTCCAGGTAGGAATGAGACACTAGTGGTGGAAAGATGGGGTGGGACTGTATGATCTCACTGTAGAGAACATGCAGGATTTTTCCAGATTAGGCATCTGAGAGAACAGAGAGGTTCTCCACCCTGCTTAAAAGTTTCTCCTAACTTGCCTGGAGACAAGTAGAACCAGAGCTGTCCTTTGGGGCTTTCCTGTAGTCCTTTCTACACAACACCATGTAGGTTTCTCTGAATTGACATGAGATAGGGCAAAGGAGAGGAAAAAAAAAAATCCTAGCGAGCAACTCCGGTGTACTTTATGTAGAAGATAAGTAGACATTGCTTCCAGAAACATGGAACCTTTGTAAGTTCCAGTGCAGAGAGCCAGGCTGTGATCACAAAGTGATCAGAATATGGGAGAGGAAAGAGTCCTTTGTCACAGACCAGCAGAGATCTTCCTGAAGTTGCCCAGGGAGTCTCAGGCCCAGTGGGAGGCAGGGAGGGGAGAGATCATACACAACATTAAAGAATTCAATGAGTTTTGCTCCTGCTTGGCATTGTGAGAAGCCAGATGCCTTTGCTGATGTTGTGCTAAGAGCTGGAAACTGCCCTGGCCTGCAGGGATCTGTTCACCGGTTTGCAGGGAGCGCACTGATCCTAGAATGTAATCACAGCAATGTGTGTGCACGTGTGTGATGCTGGACAGGAAGGAGAGACCTTCAAAGCCTGCTTCTCAGCTCCAGCTAAATGGAGGTCTTTTCTTTTCTCTTAGAACCCGGGGCTTGTCCCTGGGGCCTTGGCCTCTTTCCTGGGCAGGTGAAGCCTGGAGGTGGGGAGAACGGGAGAGGATCTTCTACCACGCCAGCCCTCCTGTGCATAACTGGGGCTTCCCTCTGTCACCTTACTCTTCGGCTCCTTGTTATCCTTTCCTACCGACTGCTTCTTGCCTTTCATTTTTGGGGCCACTGTTAGCTTCTTCTCCCCACGGGGCCTCTCCTTGCTCACTCCCGATGGATCCATCACATCCTGCGGCCCCGAGGGAGACTTCCATGCTGCTCCCCCTGCCTCTGTGTCGGGGTGAAGATGTGGCTGGCTCTGCCTGACTTGGATTTCTTTCTCCTTCCCCAGAACTGAGCATCCCCGTCTCCCGCAGGAATTGCTCTGGCTGCATTTTCCACTGAACTTTGCAATGCTCTTATCAGAGTGTTTCATTCACTGGGTATTTGTGCTTGTCATGTATTGCCGAGTCTTGGGTGAGCCATAGGGCAGGGGTGGTTCTAGAGATCCTTACACTCTTCACAGTATCTCACATATAGAAGTGTTTATTGAGCATATTGGGCAGGAAATTTGCTGGGAAATAAATGAACTGGCTAAAACTGCCTTAATGAAGACGGCATGTGTTGACTCTTGTTTCCAAGTTTCAATCCCCCTGGTTTTCCCCCCAATTACATAGAAACCAGTTGCTCATAAATTCTTCCTTTGTTTTCCTCCTCAGGCAGTTGAGGGAGTGGCTGAAAATCCCCGCTGAGATTTGCTCTAGGTTCCACCTCTGGTCAGCTCTCCATGGGAAAGTATTTTAAAAATAACTTTTCAAGTGTGCTTTTACCGTGGTGCTAGAATAAGGCGGGGCTGCTGGCCCACAGTTTGGAAAAGGGCTTTTTCCTTGGTGATCACACATTGCTAAGCGTTTACTCGGCCAGCACTGTGCTTGGTTGGAGCCTCATTTCCGGGCTTGAGGACAGCCTCTCCGGAAAGAATCCCGAAGTCCACTAGAGAGACAAAGAGGCAAGCTGACACGGACACCCCAAGCAATGCAAGAGCAAGGTGGGGCCCCCAATGGGTTAATTTCTCATCTCCCTCTGTTTCAGGCTTTGAAGAGTCCCCTGATGCGTTGTATGCTCCTTACTCCACCCATTTCCAGCTACAGGTGACTGCTCTTTCTCTTTCCTGTAAACAGCATTCACATCCCAGGGACATTTGCCCTTTGGCAGCAGAAGTTGGCACCATTCTGATGGCTCCTAAGTGGCCACCTTGAGAGATGACCTGTCTTCATTCATCCTTGCTATCTGGGTGGACACAGGGAGGGGGCTGGGAGGGACCAGGAAGAGGGGAAGGAAATTAGACTCCTGCCTTGATTGGAGATCTGTGGAAATGGCGGGGAACTGTGTGGGTTTCATGATATGGTTGCTTCTTTTTCAGAACCGGTCTCCTCAGAAAGATTTCTCCATCCCACGGGCCCAGGCTCAGCCCAGCCCTTACAATAATTATGAAGGAAGGAAAGAGGGCAGATAACTCTGTTCTGAAGAGTGGCAGACGCAGTGGGGAGCCCCAAGGGCTGTGGACTGAATCCGGAATCTTCTGGAACTGTACAGAACGTCCGCCACAGGAGGGCTCACTGCCTCTCAGCCCGGCCACTGCTGTTGGTGCTGATGGTGGCCAATAAGACTCCAGTTCTTTGCAGTGTCATGCTTTTCCTTTGTCCCATACTTAGGATACCTCTGTGGAGTGGAAGTCTTGGTCAACTCAGGGTCAGACTCTTCCTATTCTCTCGGTGTGATTAGAGGTTTGGTCACCTGACCACACGCTGGCTTGCGCAGCTTTGGGAGCGGGCTCATCTAACTCAGAGCGGGTTTCATGAGGATTGCTTGGCCCAGAGCAGAGCGGCATATTTGAGCAAAACCAGCCAACCTGAGTCTCAGCCCATACCGTCTAATTCTACCCTGGAAGCCAGCCTGCCTTTCTACCCAGGCCAGGCTAGGGGTCACCGTAAAGCTGCTCCTCCTGTGTGGCCTGGGAAGCTCCCCAGCAGCAGCTCACAGGGTGCCCCTCTTGTACAAGCCCTGGCTTGCTGTCAGCCCCCCAATGGACTTGCACCCTTGGGCTCTGCAGGGTGTCCTTCCAGAACTCACTGGTATGGACAAGCCGAGCTTCTCCTTGCCATCCGTTCCTGGTGTAGATCTTTCTCCCACCCCTTGTCCCTCAGTCTCTGTAAATAGATTTGTGCTTTGCTCACCTCCCAAATTCTGTACCTGGGCATTGTCTGCACTTGGGGAATGTTTGTTGGGTGGTAAGTTATTCATCTGGATACGCAATAAAGATGTGGCAGGGACTGTTCCTTTCTTCCCTCTTCTTTTCATTTTTTTTTAAGGTGCTAGGGATTGAACCCAGGTTTTTATGCATGCTAGGCAAGTGCCCTAACACTGAATGACACCCCAGCCTTGGTGGTGACATTTGGTACAGCAGCAGCAGCAGCACAGGTGGTAGGCAATGCAGGTTCCCCTGTTGGGCTTCAAGTTGGAGCTGCAGCCTAGGCCCATGGCTTCTCTCATGTCCCTCCTTCCCCTTTTATTTGAAAGATGACTGAAGGCCCAGGTTCTGAGGCTGTGAAGGGTAAGGGAGCCGGGAATGGTCATGGGTCCTGAGGTACGGCTGCAGCAGAGAGCGGTGTGGCAGCCTTGGCAGCCCCAGGAAGACAGAGCCACCTCAGGGCCAGTCTCATGTTTTATCTGAGGTTTGGTCACAGGAGAGGGCAGATCCGGAGCTCTTGTTTGGTAGAATTGGCTCACAGTATCTCTAGGCAGACAATGGACCCCAAAAGTATTATTTACAGCTGGGTGTGGTGATACAGGCCTGTAATCCCAGCAGTCTGGGAGGCTGAGGCAAGAGATCACAAGTTTGAGCCCAGCCTGGGCAATTGATCGAGACCCTGTCTCAACACTAAAAAAAAAAAAAAAAAAAAAAA